TACCATTCCAACAAAATTTGGTTAGTGCAAGGATTAAAGTGCATGATTTTTGACGAGGATATTATAAATCAACTTTATCTAATTATTTAGTACATGATATGGCATTGTTATGCATTGAAAAACCCACTGGAATAAAAAGTTCTCGAGTCATCAAGTGACTCGATCCGTTCCAAAGGAAAGGTCTTTCTTAATGAAAGAAGACTAGGCTTTTGTGTCGCATGAAACCTATTCTGATACTCAAATCTATTTCCATAAACGGTTTTCTATTTATATGCTCGACCTATTCTTTGAATAAGGAACCTCAAGATGCAAATGCATTGTTATTATTTTACTCTTCCCTTCAATCTAAGATATCCTACGTTTTAATGTAGCAAGTTTCAGAATCGTCACATAATTTCCACTAAGGAGAACATATACAATGTGTTTGTCAGATTCTTTACCAAATAAAGAAATCATCGTTCTTTCTGTTTATGAATATTTGGATATTAAAGTACATGTACCTTGCATGAAAACCTGATAAGTTTCCCTTAGTGGATTATTTTTTCTTTCAAGAAAAGGACCGCTCACGGTAGCCTTTTGATTTGGCACTCACTCCCGGCGCCATGTCAAGCGCTGTAAAGACGTTTAACATACCTGGCAGCCAGTGTAAAGACAAATAATGACCCTTAAAAAAGTCACCGGGGTCATTTTTTGACATCGAAAAATGACCTCACAGCGGCAGACAAATGTGAATATTCTGTAGAGAAAGAACCCTAAGGGTCATTTGTCTACATGTGTACCCTAGATAGTGACCCCCAATTATTTTGCCACATATATATTGAGATATTATTAAGAATTAACATAAGTATATTGGTCAGTGAATTCATGAATAGACATGACACCGGGGGTTCAGGAGAGTTAACTCGATGATCCTAATAGAGCTAAATTAAAATTCTTGAATTAAGCAGACACTGAGAATGGATCATTTTTTCATTAATCAGTTTTAATTTCAACTATAATATATATTTTTAAAAAAATCTATAATATATAACAGGAGTGATCTTTATTAATCTCAGTAAAGCGGCTTATTCCCTAAGGAGTTTATATAAACCCGTTTAATTAATCGAGTCCTCTCACTTTAAAAATTGCTGCAATCTTGAGAAGTGACACTTTGTGAATCTTGATTTCCCTGGCGATCGTTAATACAATTATTTTTTTTTTCAATATGGTTTGTTTGTTTGTTTTATTTGAACCAGAGACATTACATCTCATAGGTATACAAAATATGTACATAAATATTTATACATAAGCTTTGCACAGGATAAGTGTAGTATATGCTATACAATATACATTACATGTGGCAATTACATAAACAATAGCATTTAATGTATTATCACTTCTTATTGTACACTATTTAAAACATCATTTCTTAATTGATAAGAAAAATACAGAAATTTACCTAGGTTACATAGTTCTTTAGTATTTGTGGAACTCAGTAGCTGTACTAATTTAAAAACTGATGGTTTTTTAAAATAATAACTCTTGATATATTTAATTCTTAGTTCTTCATATCGAGGACATTTTAATACAAAGTGAAATTCGTCCTCTATCTCATCTGATATACATATTTCACATTTTCTATCTTTTCTTTCTATGTTACAATACCTTCCCCTCTCTATCTTTAAATCATGCGCTGATAGTCTTAAACGACTAATAGGTATTCTATACTTTGAATGTAATGGTTTTCTTAAATACGTCTGTAGTACAACATTATCCACTACATGTTGATATAAAAAATATTTAGGAGAATTACAAATTCTTGCCATAATATCTTGTTTATAACCGTCATACATTCTTTGAAATACGATGTTCAAAGAATTATTATCAATACAATTGCTATTATACATGTCAGTTAAACCAAGCCTTTGAAATTCCTTCTTAATGTTTACAATCCATTCATCATTATTTTCCACCATATCTTGATAACATGATTGTAAAATACAATTATCACTGTTTTTTAATTTCACCCAATATTTCAAAATTTTCTTTTTCCTTTCTAGTATAAGTGGAAATCTACCTAATTCACAATAAACTGCATCATTACTGGTGCTTTGTTTGACTTTTAAAACTCTTTTACAATAAGTTAAATGAACATTTTCTATATCTTGACCCTTGTGAAATCCCCATACTTCAGCTCCATAACTCATTACACTGTTAATATATGTATCGAATACTGCTAATTGTGTTTCTACGTTAAAACGCAAATCCCTGGTTTTACTATTTACACCATACATAGCTTTTTTTTGTTGGTTGTCTATTTTATATTTATTAACACCCAGTTAATTAAACATTTACAGTATAACAGAATGGTGAGTATTAATTCTGTTTGATTACTGGATGCTTAAATGTATGCTTGATAATGTATTTTTCATCCTTCCTTCATCCAAAAAGCACTCCCTGATCTGGGAGGAGAGGATTTCGCAAATGTAGATTATTTTATATTTGAAAATAATATAATTTTAAATCTCAATGCGCGGAGCTTGATAATTTTAAAACATGCACTATAAATGCACGTTTTGATTGACAAAAGAGTCTGTATGCCTGTGTTATTTTTATCTTACTTTTCCGTAAATGTTCAGAATTTCTGAGCTTTATAATGAGATGAGCTACCTTCATTTTATCTTACTCCACTCGTTTTTTCTGAATTACAGGAAGACATTTGGAGATGCTAATTTTTCAATCTCTCAAAAGAAAAACATAATTGTAGATCACATGTTTGCGTTATATCTACTTTAAAATATCAGATAGAATGTAAACAAATTTAAGTTAAGTCGACTGTTTCTCATCACGATCAGGTTTTACGGTAAATAATGGAGGCTTTTCTCGCCCTTTTCAGAAATAGACTAGCTGATAACATTGACGGGGACCTGCTCGTGTTTGAGTAGTTTTTCTTCTGACACTCCCCAGACGATCACTAATTCATAAAACTCTAACATGTCACATTTATTTCTCATCGTTATCGTTTAACAATTCCAGGGTTCTTTTTTCTTCTCTTGCCTCCTTGCACCGGATCAGCAGGGAGGTCTACGTATTGGTTTCTCAGTCAGCACGGTCCGACTGATTGTAGCAAGGTGAGTAGATTTTCAATATTCATTTAGAATTGTGATTTACACCAAATAGCTAAAACCTCCGGAAATCATCAAAACATGAAGATTTGCTATCTGTACTTTATTCATTCATAAACCAACATTTTTTGTTCCTTATTCCTAATTGGAATGACTGGTAGTGGTAGAGACTTCCAGAGATTAAAAATTCAGGAAGTTAACAATAATTTATCAGGAACGGATCTAGAAGTGTAGCTGGTGGGTGTGATTTAAACAGAAAGGAATGTCCATTTTAATTTTCTTTAACAGAATTTACAATCTAAATTAATCAATTTCACGTAACTTATTAAAACCTGCAATTGCTATTTTCGAAGAGAGTGTCAGTTACGGAATTCACTTGTTTCGTAAAAACTTTCGAAGTAAAGATATCTTATTGATAAACTATTGTTTTTTATCACCGGGAAATTAAGATTCATATCATTGATCCTAAAAAAATCTCATGAATTTCGACAAAATTATTAATTTTTGGGGGTTACTTAAATTTTGATCCTCTTAATCAATTAACACTCTAATTTTTAGCGGCAGACTTATAGCACTGTTGAGGGATGTGATTTATCGCAGATTTACGTGCTTTCCTAACACGCTTCTTTTTAACATGCAGTCCGTTTCTATAGAATTTTACTTGTTATAAATGAAAATTATGTCCAGAATTATCATCGTCTGTTTTCATGGCACATTTGATATTTAAAGCCTTCTTTGTCTAAATTTGTTTTAATTCTAACCGATACAGACAATCACAGAAACTGAAGCTGTATATAGTTAACATTGAAAATATTGTGTCAGATTTGTATATAGAATTGTACGGTATCTTCACTAAACGTCATACGTCAAGTATAAGGTAGGCCCAAATTGATTCTAACTGCAATCTAAACTTTCTATCCTTGCCCATATCCTTGTAGTAATTAGAAGGTCATTCACTATTATTAATTTTTACTATATTTTAATTAAGTGCAACTTCTACAGGTTGTAACTTTAAATAAACTTTTGGAAAGATTCCTGATGATGTACAGTGATACTTACCCAGTATTAATTTCAGCACCAAAAAGTTTTTTAAAACGTAAGAAAATGGATTGTTATAAAAGTTGACTTGGTACTTGAAAGGCACCAAACTCAGACACTTCTGCAATGGGCTTTCGTCAAGATTTTTGACATCAAATAAAATAGATATTCCAAAGATTTTTTTCATATTCAACTAATAATTCTAGATCTACCTAGTAAATATGTGCCGTAAAGAACAAACTTTAGCGCAGGCATTTTAATAATAATGAATTTAAACACGCTATTTCTCATGCTTATCACTCTTATACGCAAGCCACCGACGGAGGTGTATGTATGAGCCGATGGTAGAAAGTGGAAAGGCACTAGAAGGACCTTACCAAACGTTTTTTAAATGTTGTAAAATCAAAAAGCTAAATAAATACATGTACATATTCCACCTCAGAAAAATAAACTTTTCCTGTGGAGAACTGGAATCCGAAGTCGATCATTAGATGGTCTTTTATAAACTTTTTAAGTTGTCTTTCTCTCAATCTTCACCCAAGGTCATTCTCAAGGGCCAAGGTCATTGAAGCACCTGAGTGAAAATTCTTTGTACAAATTCTCTGATATTGCAAGCAGTTGACACAACACATACATTTTAAGGTTTATTAAAATGCTTTTATAGTGTTTTTTTTTTTAAATATAAAACTACACACTTAACATTGTGTACTTGTAAAATATACTACAAATCCCACAATTAAATAAGGAAGTATCGCTTGTCGTTATATCCTTTATACTCAACGTGTGTCATCAACAATAAAAATGAATATATTGTATACACTGTAATCTGTACGGAGCTGTAATCGATTACCAGTATAGGTAGATGAGTATAGTTGGACTACATATTGATTTTCTGAGGACCAGTGTCTAAGACACAAGATCAACAATGTCAAAATACGTCAGGTAGGTCACTGGTTTCAACTGTTTTCAATCATATTCATTAAGATTGAGTATTAGGGAAGATATTGTGTCCATGCTTTAGTCAAATATTAACATTAGTATACTTGCTCGCTTTTTTTCCCTTCAAAATATAGTACTAACGAAGTATTCCCTGTCGTAAGATAAGGAAGCTGTAGCAAAATGTTAAGATGGCGGCATGTAAAAATGTTTAAAAAATGTTTTACGTATTACATTAATTATTTGTGCACAAATTAACAATAACTTTATAGCTTACTTTTAAACAACTCTGTAGCAGTATTGCTCATGACGTCATATTCCTCATTGAATGACGTAATCAGTGATGAGGTAGGGCTGGTAGTTACTAAAAATAGGCTTTGTAGTAAACGTAGATCATTTGGCTGACAAATAAAGAATGTTAACCAGAAAGAAGAAGAATGATAAATATTATACTAGATGTATAAATCATAGTTTCTGCATAGACAAAACATCACTCAAATGCCGTAGAGATTTTCGTCAAGTTTCAGGGCTGAAATTCGAGTTTCATGAAGTTTCTGCAATGTGGACAATTAGGTTGTCCACGAATCCAAATTGTTTCCACAGGTGAAACTTAAGAAAGACAAAGTATTTGCAAGGTACGTTTCAGTTTGCGTAAACCGTTTACACTTATATACAAGTAGTAGACTATATGGTTTCCGCATTGCGGAAACTTGATGAAACATGAATTAGCCTAGGCCTATATGTAAGGTTGAAATCAGTGTGCATAAACAACAATTAGTATGCAAATATTAATTTGCACTTTGTGAAAACTTGATGCAAACTGAAAATTATGCAGTTTAAGCAGACATTTCAGATGTTAGTTTATCTCAGGATACAGTGGTACTGAACCATGCATTCTTCAATAATTGAGGACGATTTGTTTAAAAGTTGTATTCACATTTTTCTGTATGTTTTGACATATTTACATGTATATCAGTCATTCTACGATAAATGGAATAATTCAGAGTATAAAACATGAAAAAATAATTGTTTCAAATAGCAAAATGAACATCATAATTCTCTAAAGGACAGATTGATCAGTGAATTTGAAAACAAAGAATTTTCCACAAATCTGGTATCGTTAACTTTATACAACAATTTCAATATACCATTGATATTAAGGTAATGTTACGGAAGTTAATCCTTGATCAAGCCTTATCATTTTATAAATAAAGCTGAATTTGACCAGTTTTTCGTTTCTGATGTTCAGTAAAGAACGCTAAGGTATGATTCATGAAGTCTCGCATGAATCCGAAATTAAATTAAATTTTCGGGGAAAATATCGTTACGGAAGTTAATCGTTACGGAAGTTAATTCTCAGCAATAACAGTTAAAATTCTCTTCAATAGTTAAAATCAAAGTTTGTTTTAGGATATTAAACAAAAGTATGAAGCATTTTGTTCCCAAAATAATATTTTTTGTTTTATAGCTTTAATGCAAAAACTTTCCTGAATTACCGTTACGGAAGTTAAATTTTAAAGAGAGACAACTGTTTTTGTCTATTTCATTTTGTTATGTCGAAAATGTAATCGTCTAAAATAGCTGACTCGTAACTAGAATCGATGATTTTCAGATATAAGGTTACGTGGTCACTTTCAGATTAAATTTCAGATTGAATCAGCATTGAAATTTCAGATTGAAATTTAAAATAAAATCGTTACGGAAGTTAATCGATTTTAAGTGACATGCTATGATTCAGCATGAAAGGAGATCCATGCATTTCTTTGCGAGAAGTGGTTTGATTTCTTTTTATATAGGATAAAAACTTTTTTTAACATTCATTGCAATCTATTCGAAACGATTTTACGGCGGAAAATTTTATCTTGAAATTTGTAAGCAAATGAAGCGACATTAAGATTTGCAGGAAATACGGGGAATACGTTTTTCAACATTACATTACGTTCATATAAAAAATTTGACTGCATTTGGGTAAATATTTACAAAACCATGTGTGCATGTTACATAATTATGTAAGTCTTAGAGTTCAAATCGATCTTTAAATTTATAGTTTAGATATTACAACGGTTTTGTAAGCGACATAAAAAAATTCTTAATTGGTCATGTTTTTGTGGAATGACCGATATTAATTTGATAAAATTGGAGAACATATTTACATGGGAAGGATTTCATAATAAACATTTAACAAATGCACATAAAGTGTATTTTAATTTTGCAGAAATACATGTAGGAACAAGAATATCATCAACAAACATCTTGTATAACATGCCTTTGTTGGTGACGTAAAGTGTAGAGTATGTAATAAAATTCCTGAGACCCTTGTAATCACTTTTCTTCTTCCTTGTTCTGTTAATTCCCACTTCAGGATCTCCAAATAATCGTCCGGAATATCCGTCCTCTTAACGAGACGAGGGTTTAAAAGTGAGACCAACAATTAATAAATAAATAATTCTTGAAAGTATTATGGATAATTTAGTGTGTATAGTCTATATTAACCTATAACAGGAGACCCGCGCTCTGATCCTATTACTGGTTTTATTGTAGAATAATAGTTGCAGTGTTTCAGCAGAGCGATAGAAGACACTAACACGCCGTCCAGGCAGGTTGATATGTATTTAATGCCCTGCAGGCAGGTTGATGCGAATTTATTGCTCGCCCCTGCTGACTTATCTGATAAAGATGACACGATTCTTCTACAGAAATATCTTTTACAAATTGAAAAGTGAACGTCACCCAATTTTTTTGTCTATACTGTGTGAAAATTGGCTTTATTTCTTCGACATATACCGCAGCCTTATCAAACGATTGGAATACGCATGAAAATACGACGAAATTTGTAGTCATATCTTCTTTCAAAATAAAGATTGCAGTTAAAAAGAAAATGTAGCCTTATAGTATTCAAAACGCTATTTGAAAAAAACTGAATGAAGTTTTCCTAAAGCTTTCGCAATTTCATCCTTATATCTGTCTGAACATCTAAAAGTTCAAGTAAGAATATTTTCACGTTAACATGATAAAGGTTCTCTTAAAGCTGAATAATCAGATAGTTAAGATAAGCGGGCTCACTTTTTGTCGTGGTCTGCTTCTCATACAGGGATAAGGAGGTTCCGGGCACTTCAATCAGGAGCTAAACAAATACCCCGCTGGGTGGCCCCAAACAAAGGGTCCCAAACAGTGACATACTTATATTCACATGGGAAATACCTTGTCGATACATTTAAACTTACGAACCAGGTGTAACTGTGGAATATGAAAACAGACATGTCGGAAGGAGAGGAAGCTAAACCTCTACGGTACGTAAAACTCATACGTCAGGGGGCACCTGCCCGGAATATCCGAATGATCCTTAGAATATGGGCGCAGTGCAAAAACAATTCATATAGGGTTAGAAAATCAATCATTTGTGATCATGCAGTATGTGAACTTTTGTCCATTTAATCTTGTTTAAAAGTTCATGGGGTTGCGTCTTTGTTATTTTAAGTTTAATACGATAATGTACATATTGACCTGTATGAATGTAATAATAGCTGGAGGAACTCCTGTACTGTCCGCTGACCATTAATTGACCACTCATTCCATCATTACTCATGCGTTCATTAATAAAAACATAAGATTCATGTTTAGATAATGTTGTTTTATTATCTTATAACACATTAATGAAATTCCACACAATTCCATTGCATGATATGATATGCATTTAGACAAACATATCTTAGCTTTATCTATTTTGTCATGAAGTTTCTCCCTTTCTGTTGTTTTATTTCCTCTTTGTGATATATCGATTTTAAACATCTGTGAACAATATTGAAATAGTAGTTGCTTGATAAAGAACTACAGAAAATAGGGAGAACGACTTTAAAATGAAGTTACCTTGGTCAATTCACGGAGTTTTCTGTGTCGGGTAAGTTTTCAATAGGATCCTCTCAGTTGTCTGTTTACCCGACCCATTTCAATTGTATCTGTTATTTGCTGTAGTGGTCTTCAAAGTAGTGTGGATTTTTTGAATTGGTTGAACAAATTTAAATTTAAATTAAAGACTTAGAATAAACTTCAAAACGCAAGATATTCTATGTAATATTAGAAAAATATATACAGGTACGTTTCCAATTCAACAAAGGATAACAGTTAATTATAGATTTATAAAAAAAAAAAAATAAATAAAATAAAATTTGTCGATGAAGAGAGGTAACCATTTCAGTTCTTAGTATGTATTATTTTTGAAATTTAAAGATTAGTTAATCTCCCATTCATAGCATGGTATTGTCTTCTAAAATGTTTATCAATGAATACTATACACTTTTTTTTTTAAATCAGCGTGTGAATTGTTTCTGGTCGATTAATATTGCAATGCGACCTGAACATGACTGCTGTGTTTTCACCTGTCCCCCCTGACGCTCGCTTCACGGAGGGAACAGGGTTTCCAGCTACGGATGGGTGGAAGTTTATTCCACGACATTCAACTTCGATAATACCACACAAGATATTGAATTCATGTGTAGCAAGTTTACCGCAATAACATGTAGCGCTTAAAAAGAGAAGAAACCCACTACCAATATTTGCATTCTAATTTCTGTGTACTTTTTAAATAAGTATGAAATTCAATACATGTAGTCAAATTTCTTTAAAATTAATGATAATTATAACAAAATAAATAGAAAAAAAAACCCATAGAAAATCACTATTTATGATCTCATTATCTCATTTTTTTTTCTCTTAAAAACCGGTTGTTTATAATAAAATTCATCTATATGAATTTGATTTCGAAATATGGAACTAACTATGCATTGTCACTGATGCATACATGACAATGCAATACTGTGCTTCCATATAAAGGAAATCACAAAATACTGCTCACCATTATGATCCGGTGATAAGGTTAAGGGGGTCTGGGATTGGTTGGGTAAACTCCTTAAGATCTAAAGATATAAGATTTTTGCTATGAAACGAAAAAATTGAGACCGATTCGAATGCTGAATGATTACCTCTCCGTTATCATGTCAGCGTATGTTCTACTTGTGAGCTCATTTTATTTCAAGTGTGCAAACCGCATGGCAGCTTCTCTGGAATCAATACCTGTATTACTTTGCTAAATTCTGTGTTGTTATTTTACCATTTAATAATTTCTATTTGTTGCAGTGACTTGTATCATGTCATTAACGCATTTTTTCACCTATTTAATAATAGCCAAGTTTTTTGACTTGTTTCAAAATAAAGATTTTCTGTACGTATATAGAAGTAAATCTATTCAGACTAGTAATTATTCTGACACACAGATTTATTTTTTGAATGTTTCCTATATCTCTTCTGATATCAAAGTGAGTACTTCGTAAGTTTCTGTAGAATATCTACTTTTACAGAACTCAGCTATTTATCTCTAATATGCCAGAATAGCTGATTTTCAGTAAACTCATTAAAGAGAGGCGTGTCGAGTCCGTGAGAATTTGTTTTGCTGCATACATCTGGTGATGTTACACCTCTTTTACACCAGACCCCCACTGAAACGCCATCAGGTTAGGGTGGCAACATTTCTGATTCTTTTTCTGTGGTTCCCAGAATCAGGGCTCAGAAGCTTTATATATAAACAGAAACCATACCTGAGAGCTTTACACAAGCAATCCTGAACCACTTTGTAATAAAGGACTGTGCTTTGTACACATTCCGGGAAAGAAAGAACGAGACCAGTCTCCTTTGGTGTTCGGCGGTCATTTCCATGGTCGTTCTGTCCACCAAGACTTTAGTTCTGACAACTGAAGTGTCTCTTTAGATGTGCTATTGTCATTAACACTTGTCATTTAATGATTATCGACTTTCAATGATTTATCGAATGTAAGATCGAACTAGTGTCCCTGTGATTGACTGACAATGAGAGGATTATTTATCAGTGGGCTGGAGATGAATGAATGAACCTAAGGTTGTGAATGTCTAATGAAATTTTTAATCTTAATTTTATTCCGGATTTCACTGCTTAAGAGAGGTAAGCTTATTTAGGTGTCTAAAAGATTAAATTTTGTATTCTGTTGAATAACTTACATAATATTCTTATTAAAATGATAAGTGTGTAGAGTTTTTTTTTTTTTTTTTTTTTTAAAATAATATATCAAAAACTTCTTATGTATGTTTAGAGAATCTTTGAGAAAAAGAAAAAAAATCATTACATTCAAATATACCACAAAAGACATATCACAAATAAATAATAGAATTTATCGTAATTTATTGATTGGTCTTGACAAAGGAATAAACTTCCACGACTCGATTTTCCTGTTTTAAGAAATAATCATTGCAAATTCTTATCTGACATAAGAATTGATGTATAAATTACGAATCTTAGAACATATGGACGTCCATTAAGTTTAATTTGCCTTTGTTGTGAGGCCAGATAAACTGACAGACAGGGTTAATTTGGTGCTCCTCCCCGGAGCTGGGACCTGTCTTATTATCCTCTGCCAGTCTAAGATTTAAAAAACAGCTGGTTTGTGAAATCTTTATATAAACCATAACATTATAAGAAATCGATGACTTCTTCCATTATTTCTTGATGATAATATTAATTTTGGATTCTTTCTTAATGCTTTTAAAATTGGTGTGTTGTCAACATGGTCAATTGCTGGATGTGTATTTGGTACTATAGTATGCAGAGCTCAATTATGTGAATATTTTTATCGTAACGGAAACAGTTTATGGGTTTTATATGCAGAATAAGAAACTCCTTTTAGTAGGCCAGAATAAATTGGACACTTATTGGTAATTATTGCTGTCTTTTCTTGCCAGTGGCTCACAAGAACAAGACACGCTAGCGTCATGTTATGTCCGCCGCGACAACATTCACATTTTATTGGTCATAATTTTGAATTTCAATATATTCTGCATGATAATTACTATTAGAAACAAATTGTTCTTGCAAAATACATATGATATTTAATTTTCATATCTTTGTAGAGGTGGCTAATTTCACTACGCATAAGGCAGATCAATATGATCAATATTTTGTATCTGGCTGATTTTATTTTGAGACTCATATTTAGTGTATCCTTGTCTTGGGCAATGAAGTTGAAATATGTCTTAAAAGTTTTCATTTAACTGCATTATGCTAATATTTTGCAAAGAAGACCTTGTTGTGTTTAAACACCACGCGGTACAAAAGAAAGTAATGCGAGCTTTAAGGGATATTGTTTAAAGTGCACTTTTTCTTCTGTTATAATGGTTTTAATTTTCGTCATGAAAATAAAAAGTAACATAGAGATTTAAAAAAAAAAACACTTTATATCGGACAAATATTTTGTAGCAAGTCTGTATTATACAGGCACAATAAAAACCCAGTTAGGTAAAACCCTTACCACTTAAAATGTTTTGTACGACGGTAAGTGAAGAGGACACTTCTATATATAGTTAACAAGGGAAAATATGAATAAATATAGATATATATAAATTAACTAATAATAATTATTTTCTGTTTATAGAGCCACGGAGGAGAGCCCCGCTCCCGACACATCCGCGCCTGATCCCCCTCAGCTACCCGGCGTGATGAGCCTCGCGTGCCTAGTGTTCCTAAGGCGCCGCCTATATCTGTTGCCGCTGATCACTGCCCTGTGGATCATCATGGCTTTCTTCATATCGTAAGGCAGATGTTAACAAAGTATAATTGTTCAGTTTACAACCTTATCGCGCTTCTGTCTATTAACTCTTATATTAACCATCAAGGCGAAGCTGGCATTTTGAATTTTATGATATCTTAAGTTAACTCTGACAATAGCATCTTGTAGTTTGAAATTTTCTGTTTAAGTTTAGGAGGAATTTTATTCAAAATAATGCACATGAGTAAATTGTTACACTACCAGAGTATTTTATGGTGTCTTGATATCTTTTTCTAATTCTAAGGTATGGTATCTCCATCAAAAGCGGTTCTGTGAAACCTAATGATTTCCCTTACATCAGGTATGAATTCTGAATGAAGAGGAAAACCATTCATTTTAATAATGGTTTAAGAATATTCACGTAGAGACTAATTTAGCAAATTGTCTTAACTATATAAGAGTTTAAATGAAGGTACGATTTGAAAGAATTTGAAATATACTAGCTATAAACATGGATGTTTTGCATGTTCATAAGTAATAGAATAAGAAACACGAATATTACGCCTGGAAGTCACTTCCGCAAAACTGTGATTTTGTTTTTGATAAAACTGAATAAAATATATTTAAATTTGTTATAACTACATGTATATACTGTTAAAGTATGTTGGAACGGCGGGTGATATTTACGCAAAAGCTTTTTTTTCGCGTATTTGTCGTAAGTTACCTCACGTGTAAATTTCCACGTTTACAGTATGAACTTCAGTTTCTTTAATTGTTCACGTATTAAACTTGCACACGCACGTCCGGTCATTCACGTTTTTAACGACGATAAAACAAGTTAATGATGCATCGCATTCGATACCATCTCCTACCAATTGTGTAAACTATTCAACGAAAAAAAAAAAACTGAGGCGAGAATCAATTATTTTTGTTTTCTGATCGATAGTACACCTACAATATTACCCTAATTAACCCCTCGATGACGATGGGACAAGCCTAATTTTTTATCGTTTGTCTTGTGTAGAAATATCTGTCCCTGCTTATTTTTAAAAGTTTGCTTTTATATGATAAGAAAGAGTATGTATGAAGATGTGTTTATGTTAAATCGGTCCAGATATATGATACTTTTATTATATTTCCAGCTATACTGCAATCGAGGCACCTGAACGATGTGTTTTCGGACAACTCATCAACATAGGAGCCGTTCTATGTGAGTAACAACTTACTTCTACAACATAAGTCACGGAGGTTTAGGACTTTACAAATATTCTTGAAAATATAAGAAAAACAAGATTTTTTCTGTTGCAAGCAAATGCAGATGTCATCCCCAAGAAATCCCTGCTCTGTAACCTTACGCTGGGAAACTATATACAATTATGCTGATTCAAAAGATCATTCTCTATAAGGTCGTTTTACGGCCTTCAAAATTTCAAATAACAATTTCTCTTACAAACTGCATGAATCATCGGGTTATTGATCTAACATTATAAGGATGGTTAAAGATGTTATTATTGCAGCCCGGAGGACCGGGCTGCTCTATACATATAAGTTTAAGTGTTGGTATATGGGGATTGAGGTGGGAGAAGTTGTTCAGAATTAAAGGTTTTCTAAACATTAAAAAGATTGTTAATCAGAATGTTCTTTCCCTTTATAAATTACAAGATACACAATATATTTACTTCCATAAAGTGAATCTGTAAAAATATATATGTTTTTCATATTTAATATATAAAGTTGCTTATCATTTACTATCGAAAAAACGACAGGTCCCTTTTTTTAGAACATCGAATTTTACTTATCGGATAAAAACGTAAAAATGTACTTTACACAGTTCGTGTTTTATATTCTTAAAGTGAAAGATATTTTTGAAAATAGGTGATGCATGTGTCTGGTTTCAAATTATATTTTATGCAGCCAACATTTACTTGAGGAATTGATAAAGTTTAAAAGGGTATCGTTTTTGTTCGATTTTCATTCGACTATAAGTTTTCAAAATATTCTCGACTATCGTCTCCATCATTTAGACGCATGGCTTTTCACACATATCGAAGCGGTTTGATGATACAGACTCATTTCCTTTGTTTACTTTACTTATTTCCCGGGCGACAATTGATGGTTACATCAATGTTTTCTTGTTTGTTATGATATAGGGTCACAATGTGACGTACTATCTATCCGTTTCAGCATTAGCGCAATGGGAAAACTCCAGAGGGTGGGTGCGTTTGGTATGGGCTGCACATGTCATAACCACCTTTGACCAACACCAAAATTTGCATGTGAGCTTCTGAATAACACAAAAATTTACTACTAACATAAGAACTTGGTTAAAGGTGGTTTTGACATCGAACTAAAAACTTTTCGCTTCATTTGAGTGATAATTGCAGGAAAAGCTATTTACTCAAGATGAGGTCTATCATTGAAGTCTCATTGAATTGTCTGCTGGAAATAAATGCAATACTCTTCATATTCCATATGTTGTGAATCTTTATTGATTGATTAAATAGTTGTAGTGGAAAGAATCACGTATGTTATCTGTGATTATAGGTAACCGTGATAATACGGAATTACTGGACATGAAATAAATGTTCCATAGAAGGACCTTGAATTTCAGAGGTGCGCGTTCATATTTTCTTCGTATGAGTGATACAAGGTCGAAGTTCTTAAGCCTATTATGTTAAGGCTGAGGTTGTTTAGATGACTCTATCTATTATGGAAGCAACACACATCTTAAGTAGCAAAACAATCCTCTAGAATAGCGGCTCAGTCTTACAAAATCAGAAGCCAAGGGTAAAAAAAAAAAGGGCTTCCGAAAGGACAAATATGGTTGATAATGTTGTTTTGGGCCATTTCAGAATTTTTCAATCATGTAGAGAGGTCATCAATTTTAGTTGAAGCGTAAAAAATTTTGACCTAACGCTTACTATGACACGGGACTTCTGTTTTAAAGGGAATATAGCAGTCACTACATATGTTAAACGCTTTAGTTTGCACGTAGCACCGGAAACGAGAATCGAACCCTCGGTCCTCCATACCACGAAGCTAGCGTTCATGCAACCTGTAGGCTTTTGCGAGCGGTAGGACACACATACACGTGCCTTAGAAGTTGCAGAGACCTTTTGTAGTGGGAGGAAGTGTTAATCATCTAAAGAGTTTTTTTATGGAGTTCTGTTGAAAGGGTTTTCTGGAGTACTGTTGAAAGGGGAGGGGGCAGGGACTTAGATTTGATATATACAATAAATAATAAAGTAAAAAAGCAAAGCAATTTTAACGATGCTCTTTGATTAATATACATCATGTACTGGTGATTTTTAATACGACCGTTTTGCGTTTTATACACTGAGTGCTCATATAATTAGTCAACAGGTATTTATATTGAAATTTTCCTCCTGTGTGTTATTGGGTTCTTATTTATTGTAGATATCAAATTTGTTTAATTTTTTTTTTATAACATACTGTTTATTCAGCCACAAACAAGACCCCTTTAATGTGTTCAGCATTTGATGCACTTCTTTTCATAGTTCAGTCTTCGATATATATACCATATTTCTTTTATGCACGTATTATAGGAAAAGTAGGGTGCACGTCTAAAAAAGGATACACAATAATAATTTTAATTTACATGAACTAAGTAATCAAAATAAATGACAAATAGGAATTTATTAACGTCATACAATGTATATTTTGAAGAAATTTACATTCAAAATGTGTAAAATATAAATGCAGTACAATTTTGTCATATAAAGTAATTTATCTTTAGTTGAAACGTTTTTAACATGTTATTTTAGAAATGATATGTTTTAAAAATACATATAAATGTTTTTTTTTTTACTTATCGGTTCAAACAACATCCATGTAAACTTGATTTGAATAGACCTACCCTCAATTTTTCTTTATTTTACTTCCATTTTTCTCTCTTTAACACGTGACTTATGTGGTCAATGTTGAAAAATAAGCATCAAAATAATAAAATAGAGGGAATAAACTTCCATAAAATTACATTTTAAAATGATTTCATTGTAGGCTGGAAAACGGCCTTATAGAGAATAAACCTTTGCAAAAATTTAAAAAATCCACTCCTAACTTCAGACTAATATACTTAGACCAAAAATTAGTATAATGACATTTACCAAAGTCCACATAAAATCAAATAAAAACACCCAAAGATGTTTTATATTTGTTTCTAACTCCGCCTCAAGTACATATTGACTCATTTGGCATTACCCGTTTAATTGACCTAACAGAATATTTATCTATCACATTTAGATTTCTACAGATTATGAATGCATAATAATGTTCATTTTGTGTGCATGATTTTTAAAATATGTCTTTGATCGAGATAAATATGTTCATAAAGCCATATGCTCATCATGTGACAGAACTGTCTTCACGCTGTGTGTGGTTTCGTATTACTCTGGACAGGGCTTGAAGACTTAGATTTCTAATTATTGAATATAAATAACTACTCTTTGCCATATTTTTTAAATGAATGAAAGATCAGGTAAAAATGTAAATAATAAGGAATAATTTTAGGGATGGCGTTTATGCATGTTATCATCTGACCAAACTGTTTGATCACGTCATAAAACAAAAAAGTACACAGTAATTCCTTATATAAATCTCGTACGTTTCCCCACTAGGCAATGCTGCTTTGGTAAAGGATTCCTTTCACTGCTCTGTTTCGTGTAGTGATAAATTTAAAATTCTTTTTTTATGAAACACAATGAAGACTGTTTTTGTCTGAGGGAATATTAACACACAATTGACCAATTTTGTTTCAGTGGGTATGAATGTGTGGGTGAGGTACCTGTTCGTGAAGGAGATCTTTTTGAAGAGGAAAGTCCAGGATGCTGCAAAGTGGCAGAAAGTGAACATCGCTGGGATCATCCTCGGATTTCTGTCTGCTCTGGGGATTAGCATGGTCGCCAACTTCCAGGTACTTTTGTTTGATTTAGTGATGGATCCTACGAAATCTTTTATAGTATTTTTTCTAAATGGGACCTTTGTGTAATATCTGTTAAATGCTTTATTTTAAATACAGACTGTTGTTCAGCGAGGACCACACTACGTGGGCGCTGGCCTTGCCTTTGGCCTCGGTCTAGCCTATTGTTGGTTGCAGACAAGGTTGTCATGGAAACTACGCAGCGAAAAGTACGGAAACAGAACTGTGGCGATGTATCAGCTAGTCAATAGCATAGCATTATCCGTGTTTCTACTTTTATGTATCCTTACGCTTGAATTTTGATATAACTTGATACTTTATCTTATTTTTTTTGACTGTTAACTCTTATGTTTAAGATTACACCGAATTTAGATGCGTTGAATAAGTTTCTTGCAGTTTCTCTAAATATTTAAGTCCCATACATATATATTTAGTTTGCAAACTTTAAAAATGTAAACAAAAAATACTAACGATAAAATCCATCATGGAAAGGTGGTAGGCATTCATTTTCGTTCATTTAGTATTGAGAATAATTACTATTCATTATCTTTACATTTAATCTTGAGTGTGAAAAAGCCTTTTCCTATACAAGTATTAGGTGTTTTCCTACATATATCATCTGAATAAATATACCTTTTGCTGTTTTTCTCAAGATAAAGTCTTGATTTTCCAGCTTTCATGATTTTGAATCTGTATTGCAAAAACGTAAATGTATTTATAATATTTATATATGTATACTAGATCGTCATCGTAAGGCCCGTGACGTCATTTATAGAATATATTTCGTCAAGTATATACCTGTAGGAGGTAAAGTACCTTAAGTCATCAATAAATATATCTCAAGACTTAATTATAAGCCAATCAATTATTAATGTCTATTTTAATATATATGCCATGTGTTTTTAGCTCACCTGAGCCAAAGGCTCAAGTGAGCTTTTCTGATCAAAATTTGTCCGTTGTCTGTCGTCGGCGTTGGCGTCGTCGGCGTCGTTGTTGTCGTAAACTTTTCACATTTTCATCTTCTTCTCCAGAACTACTGGGCCAATTTCAATCAAACTTGGCACAAAGTATCCTTGGGTAAAGGGGATTCAAGTTTGTTCAAATGAAGGGCCACTCCCTCCTCAAAGGGGAGATAATTACGAAATAGCAAAAAATTAATGGCATTATTGAAAAATCTTCTTCTCAAGAACCAATGGGCCAGGAAAGATGAAACTCATATGGAATTATTGTCAGGTAGTGTAGATTCAAGTTTGTTCAAATCATGACCCCGGGGGGTAGGGTGGGGCCACAATGGACGATCAAAGTTTTACATAGGAATATATAGGAAAAATCTTCAAAAATCTTCTTCTCAAGAACAGCAAAGCTATGATTGGTCATATTTATATGGAAGCATCTTCATGTGGTGTAGATTCAAGTTTGTTCAAATCATGACCCCCGGGGGTAGTGTGGGGCCACAATGGACGATCAAAGTTTAACATAGGAATATATAGGAAAAATCTTCAAAAATCTTCTTCTCAAGAACAGCAAAGCTATGATTGGTCATATGTATATGGAAGCATCTTCATGTGGTGTAGATTCAAATTTGTTCAAATCATGACCCCCGGGGGTAGGGTGGGGCCACAATGGACGATAAAAGTTTTACATAGGAATATATAGGAAAAATCTTCAAAAATCTTCTTCTCAAGAACAGCAAAGCTATGATTGTTCATATTTATATGGAAGCATCCTCAGGTGGTGTAGATTCAAGTTTGTTCAAATCATAATCCCCGGGGGTAGGGTGGGGCCACAATGGACGATCAAAGTTTTACATAGGAATATATAGGAAAAATCTTCTTCTCAAGAACAGCAAAGCTATGATTGGTCATATTTATATGGAAGCATCCTCAGGTGGTGTAGATTCAAGTTTGTTCAAATAGTAACCCCCGGGGGTAGGGTGGGGCCTCAATGGACGATCAAAGTTTTACATAGGAATATATAGGAAAAATCTTCTTCTCAAGAACAGCAAAACTATGTTTGGTCATATTTATATGGAAGCATCCTCAGGTGGTGTAGATTCAAATTTGTTCAAATCATGACCCCCGGGGGTAGGGTGGGGTCTCAATGGACGATCAAAGTTTTACATAGGAATATATAGGAAAAATCTTCAAAAATCTTCTTCTCAAGAATAGCAAAGCAATGATTGGTAATATTTATTTGGAAGCATCCTCAGGTGGTGTGGATTCAAGTTTGTTCAAATCATGACCATTGGGGGGTAGGGTGGGGCCACAATGGATGACAATTAAAGTTTAACATAGGAGAATATAGGAAAAATCTTCAAAAATCTTCTTCTCAAGAACAGCAAAGCCATGATTGGTCAAATTTATATGGAAGCATCTGCAGGTGGTGTAGATTCAAATTTGTTCCAATTGTGACCCCTGGGGGTAGGGTGGGGCCACAATGGACAATCAAAGTTTTCATGGGGTATATAGGAAAAATCTTCAAAAATCTTCTTCTCAAGAACAGCAAAGCTATGATTTGTCATTTTTATTTGGAAGCATCCTGAGGTGGTATGGATTCAAGTTTATTCAAGTCATGACCCCCAGGGGTAGGGTGGGGCCACAATGGACGATCAAAGTTTTACATAGGAATATATAGGAAAAATCTTCTTCTCAAGAACAGCAAAGCAATGATTGGTCATATTTATATTGGAAGCATCCTCAGGTGGTGTAGATTCAAGTTTGTTCAAATCATGACCCCCAGGGTAACAATGGACAATCAAAGTTTAACATAGGTGTACATAGGAAAAATCTTCAAAAATCTTCTTCTCAAGAACAGCAAAGCTTTGATTGGATATATTTTTTTGAAAGCATCCTCAGGTAGTGTAGATTCAAGTTTGTCCAAATCATGACCCCTGGGGGTAGGGTGGGGCCACAATGAACGTTCAAAGTTTTACATAGGAATATATAAGAAAAACCTTTAAAAATCTCAAGAACAGCAAAGCCACGTTTTGTAATATTTATATGGAAGCATCCTCAGATAGTGTAGATTCAAATTTGTTTAAATCATGACCTCCAGGGGTAGGGTGGGGCCACAATGAAAGTTCAAACTTGTAGAGAAAAAAGTCACAGTTAGTCAAAAAATTATGTAAGCAGTGTAGATTTAATTTTGGTTGATTTAATTAAGTCATCCCCCCCCCCACTCCCTTTTAGGGGTAGGTTGGGACCATTTATGCATTTAAGCTTTTCAATACTAAACTGATTTTTCCTTTTTTCCTAACCACAGTGCTCAGGTGAGCGATGTGGCCCCTGGGCCTCTTGTTAAGAGAATCGATTCACAAGTAGATACTTATATCCTTAACTTATCAACAGTTTCCATTACAAAAATAATCTACAAGGTAAACGAAGCCAAAGACTTAAAAAAGGGACTGGTGGACACAAAATTTGTAAGTAATTTATTATTCACCATAGAATACATAATTGTTTAAGGAAGTCCATTACGAAGTTTAATCTGAATTTGAACCATCTTGACTGATTGATTTTTTGTTGTCCATTCAAGTATTTTTCACCCATGAACAACTTACTGAAGCATGTCTCTTATCAAGTTCAGAATTACAAAAATGTAAAATGTGAACAAATTAATTGATTTGACTCAACTTCTATTCCGTTAACGCGTTCTGTGCTGCTTTATGAATTTTAGTTTGACCTGTCAATTCAAAACATATACTGTTTTTCGAAAAATTAAATTTTAAATGTTAACATTCAGTGTAATTTTCTTTATGAAATCCATTAGAAATCTACAAAATTCAACCCCCTATCACAAACACGAAACTACACAGTAGGAAATACCTGCACTTTCAATAACAAGGAGCACAAAAATGTACATGTATATATTGTTTTTGGCTCAATTTAATCAAACACAATTACGCTATAAAACTGTTGTAAAATATAACAATTGAACCTTTAAAATTATTCGTCATTTTTTTTCTTCGCAATATTCATTTGTTTATGAAAAAGGTGAAGAAAACGAACAGAAATCGATTTAAAAAAATCTACAAACAATGCAGATTTGTGAACAATGCTATAAATGCTTCATAGAAATATAAACAGGTCGGCTTATAAAGGAGCACGATTTGTGCCTCTCGAATTCCAACAGCTTGCTGGAAGATCTGGTCTCCAAAGACTACATAAATGTTGCCAATGAGGGACTCCAGCATTCATTTAATATCATCTTTAGAGTACTTGTGTGTAGACTCAGAGCGATTTTAACAAAGTAATTTTTTTGATGACCAATCACGAGAAATGAAAAATTTCTCAGTTCAATTTTTGCTGAATAAGCAGTTGTCAATGAAATTAAAAAGCCTCGTGTTTAATGGATATGAGGAATGGTTAAATAAAGTGTAGAAAAATCGTACATTTTGATGTGGCTGATTTTTGAAAAGTTTGGGGAATTCTAAGTTTTTAAAATTACTTTGGAGTTATTGAGCATCCACATCTGATTAACACCACCTCTCGAATATTTTGTAGCACGGTTACGTTCTGAACTTTTTCCTTCACAGCAGTTATTACTTTATAGGGGCTCTGTAGAGCATTTGCTGGACCCGGCAATATATCTTTGTAAGGATTTTTATTAAGTTAAGGAATCCAGTATAGGTAGGGTAGATCGAATTCACCTTGGTTGACTGGAATGTAAAAAGTATTAAAGATTGAAATGTGATTTTGAAAAAAAATTATCCTTAGAAAGTGAACTTTGAGTGTAAGACGGATTTCCAGACGTAGATTAAAGCATTTATTTAACTTTCTACCTCAAGACGCCCTTACGCCTAATAACCATATCAGTTCTGAAAGGCGCTAAATTTACAATAAAAATGAATGAAATTAACATTTATGAAGAGTGAAAAGTAGACAAATCTATTACAACCATTGAATTCTTATTTTTGGAGGACACACAGCAACTATCCGTGCCCAAGAATTTGAATACCGCGCTAATACGGTCGGCACGACCAGATGCTGTTGTATCATTGACGACATCCAAGAATAAGAATTTTTAAATGCTTAAAAATTGAAGTCTAAGATGACAAGTCCAAATGAATTCAACATTACGTTGAGATTAAAATTTCATTACAGACATCTCTGCGTGGAGTGTATTTAGCATCAACGATCTCAGAATGGCTAGTGGCGACATCTGTCCTCACATTCGCCCTCACGTTTATGTGGGACTTCCGAGCCCTCGTCATGGAAACTCCACGAGTCAACGTTAACTTCAACATGATTGAGGTTTGTTGTGGAACATCCCTTTTTTACATGTACTCTATAAGCTGGAGAAGTAAGAAGAATACATGTCTCATTATTGAAATTACTTGTAGTTGTATAGTTGCAATTGAATATATTTGAATATATTGAATTGAAAACATGATACACAAAACAGACGGGGCTAAATATACATGTAGGTGTAGATTGAGGCTAGTCGCTACAATAATATTATATATAGGCTAAACTTAAATAAATATTCTTGGAACGTTTCCTCACAATAACATTAAGTATCAGTTAATGGAGTAAATAAGCAAATATTTACATAGATTCAATGTTGTTTAATCATCGTCCCGAAGGTTAGTATGAATTCTCAATAGAGGTAAAGGATTTAATCTAGGGATTTATATAGCACTCTTCTCAGAACAGCAAGGGACATTCCAAAATTCCAATTTTGAATTATTTTATTTAGAATTAATTTATATTTAAAAGTAGCGATTGTCAACTTTATTCATTAGCGTGATGAAACACGAGGAAAGATCTGTAGGGCTGATGCACCAGAATCTCCGTGAAATAATTATAAAATTCGGTATACCGATTTTCAACACATCGTTTGAACATTAAAACTGGGAAAATAAAATTGAAGTTTGTTAGACTGTTGGTGGACATGTGTACACATATCATGTAAATTAACATTGATGCAATTATTACCTGGACTTAGTTAAGGGATTTAATTTCTTCATCCACTATGTTTAAGTTTTAGCGCTTGTTTGCATTTTGTATCTATTTTACATTTTTAATAGGTAGAGATTACAGTTCCATCAGAGGTTACAGTTTCATCAGATAAAGAAAAAGAGAGAGGTGATGATACGAACATGAATAACATCAATGTTGAAGTGTGATCATTGTAAGCTTCTCAGATCAGAAGACAAGGGACAATACTCACAGCGTGATGCCAAACCTATTCTAAGGAAACTGGTCCTGTAAACATGGATATTTCACATATTACTCAACATAACCATCCATGTAAGGCATAAGGGGAACTCAAGAATGTGGAATCTATCAATGTAGGAAAACAATTAGCAAAGTGGTGAGAAACATTAACTCTAATATAAAAATTAGAGGAATGGAGAGAACAAATTATTCAGAGGAATAGAAAGTGAGCACAACAACAGGAGGCAGACATCAGAACAAAGAATCAGGGAAACTAAAGGGCAGTGGAACACTCATCAATGCAAGAGAGAGAGAGAGAGAGAGAGAGAGAGAGAGAGAGAGAGAGGAATTTCTTTTGTAAATTAAATTTTGTTACATCATAACCTAAGTGCTTATTCATACATTTTCAGTTATTATACAAAACTTTAAGTTTAATGAATACAGTTTAAATTATAATGGTATAACTTACTTGTGTGCTTTAATGTTTTAACGTAATGAACGTAAGATATCGTTTCTTTTTTCAAGGGCACTAAGTATTACGACAATGTATACCCATTCTACCTGTAATACTGGTACTTATGAAAGAACTTGTTACTATTCTTTTCGTTTATACTGTGTTAAAAATCAATTAAAATCATGAAAAGATCTTTAATTTCTATTTCTTTTTTCTCATTCATTATTTCTCATCCATATCAAAACTAGTAGAAATGTTGTTAGTTTTACTTTTCTACTCATCCAGAATCCTAAGCTTGGAATGCCTTCCGCTTTTCCTCTTATTTTTTTGCCTCACAAGTTCACTGTCCAATCATTCTAAAGCAATACCATTATGGATTCTTTGAAGATTTCATATTGAGGTAAAAATTATTCTTCCATATTTATCCATGGGTAAAAATTTTGATGTTTAATGAAAAGTTTTGCTAGGCATCTTAACATAAATATTTTTTAGCTCAAAAACTAGGCGTCTAAGTTTGCTTTGTTGTATAGTTTAAAGTAAAGGATGAAATTATAACAAATGCAAACGATTATAGTTGACTTTTATAAAACTGTGAATTTCGGATTAGATTAGAATTAACGCTTAGATTGTGCTATGATTTTATTCTCAGTGTATTTACTATACATATTGAATTATAACCAGCAATAAACCTGCCTTTTTTTTCAATTTGAATAAACGAACAATCAATTTGTTAACATACTTTGCCATTTAACGAATTAGTTCACTGGTTACTTGTTATTTTACAACCTGGATTGTTGTTTTCCCACGTTTTATCCAGTTAGAAAAATTTAATGTATTGAGTTAGTTTCGTAAGAAATCCATTTTTATATGCTTTATTTTCGTCGGTCAATTTTATAAAGAATGCCAACTTCTATAGTTGACAATTAGATCCCAACATTTCTCATAATTTTTTTTATTGATTCTCACACTTTACATTACTTAATACAATCTTTTTAACCATTTTCTTTGCTTAAGTGATGAAGGACGTTTCCCGAGAAATGGCAAAATAACAGTTTGGGATGAATTCTAGGCATGAAATAGCTTTGTCGATCCGTAATCATACACTTTTCTGAAAAAAATGAAGGGAAAAAGAATTCATGAAACTGAATTATGTAGAGGAATGTTGTTAATTTAGTTTTTAAACTTCATATTTATTCACCATGAAAGCTTGACTAATTAACCTTGTTTGACAATACAAACTTTCGTTGGGTTGTATTTTGAATGACATGCTGCAATCAATTGTTAGGCTACTGTTGTTCACTAATTTTGACCATGGATTACTTCGTTTAATTTATCTCTACAGAGGGCTTACGTCGGGTGTGACCAGTTTAAAGGGGATGCCTTCTCCTACTAGGCACCTGGTGTTTCCAGGGGTCCGTGGTTTTGCGCTGCTTTGTATTGTTTGAAGGATTGAAGACACCATCTTCACATTTTTCGTTAATTAACAACTAAATTGTATGATAAACGAGATGACTAGCTTTTAAATCGTCAACTTTCCTTATTTGTGTAGTAATATTCCACTATCACCTACTTATGATGTTTATGTCTCCCAACTTATTCACTACTCAAGAGCTTGCTCTGAGTACGATCAATTTTTAAAGCGAGGCATGCTACTCACTCATAATTTGATGTAACAGGGATTTCAACAGCCTCGTTTAAAGTCAGCATTTCGTAAATTTTATGGTCATTATGATGACCTTGTTAGCAAATAGAACCTATCATTGGGTCGTATTTTGGCTGATTTGTTTCATACTAATTGTTAGGCCATTGTTTTTCTACGGAATTGACTACGGGTAGTTCCGTCTACACGATAAATACATAGGGCTCTCGGCAGGTGTGACCGGTCAACAGGGGATGCATACTCTTCAAAACCGTAATTTCATTAAAAATATATATATATATATATATATATATATATATATATGAGGGTGTGTGTGTGGGTGTGTGTGTGTGTGTGTGTGTGTGTGTGTATACGAGGGGTGATCAAAAAGTTCGCGAACTATCTCTATATTTACAAAACCACAATTCAGACCAGAATGAAATTTGTCATACGTATAGTCATACACATGTTCTATAAAAAGCATATCATATGTAATGTTTTGCTCTATGTTTGTGACGTCACAGTTTGAAAATGACGTCAATATGTAGATGACTTGTGACAAAAAATGGTTGACTCAGTCGTACTCGAACAACTAAAGGCTGTGTAGTTTAATGTGTATCTTGGGAATTCCTTTACAGTAGCATATAATAATTTGTACAAGGTTTATGAAGACAAAAAACTTGCAAGAAGTTGAATCATTAATTGGATTGATTGTTTTAGTGAAAGAAGGGAGACGGTTAAAAATGATGTTTGTTCTGTTGCCCAGTGAAAGCACACAAGGGAAGAGATATGTCCTTAGTTGAGCAATTTGTTATGAAAGATCGCCAAGTTACATTTAGAAAAATAGTTGAATATTCTAACAATAATGTAATTATTAAATTCCCTAAAATATCGTTTACTTCAGACTTTAAACTTATCAGATATGATAAAAAGAAGGCGACCATGCTTTATCCATACTGGAAAAACGACGTTTTTAAGACAGATGACTCGGGTTGTGATGGTCACCATGCTTATTCTGGAAAAGGATATCCTTATCCACCCATCCTTTTGCCGAAATTTGGTCATTTCTGACAAATAGACTGTTCTTGTTTTAAAAAATAACTTGGATGGTAAGAAATATAAGACTAGAAAAAATCTTTCAGCTTCTGTGAACGGAACGCTACGGAACATGTCACGTGACCGACTGGATCACGTGATTCGCGCATGGGCAGAACGGTTTCAGATATGCATTAAAATTGGAGAGGACTACTTTAAAAAATAATGAACACTGAAGCCTAATTTTATTTCTTTTATGGAAGTAATTCAATTAGTTCGCGAACTTTTTGATCACCCCTCATATATATATAATTATATATATATATATATATATATATATATATATATATATATATATATATATATATATTATATAAATAGTGCACGTTTTTGAGGGTAACAGTTGAAATTGACACCCCAAGGAAAACCATTGTCAACCGACGCGTCAGCGGAGGTTGACAATGGTTTTCCGAGGGGTGTCAATTTCAACTGTTACCCTCAAAAACGTGCACTATTTATTTTATTATACTGAATGTCTTATTGATTTCGGTTGTCATTAAAAAAAATTCGGAGATCGTCGTTAAGTTCACTGTTAGAAAGCTCTCAAACTCTCCGCTTCTATTTTTCTCAATAAGAAAGCTTCGGAAAAGATTTACCAACCTCTTCATTGTTTGTTTGCTACTCAAAAAGTCCTTTATCATCTAAAGTTTGCACTCGCTAGGATGTTTCGTCTGTCGTTTGTTGTTTTCAAGTAAGCTACATCGGACGAAAGCTTTTATTGACGTCGTTTATTCGACTTCTTTCAAACGCACAACTGACGTTCTGAGAATTCTACGGTGAACCGTACGCGCATGATTTGAACGCATGTAACATTTTCGTAATGTTACCCGTTGCCAAGTGTGTTGCTAACGCTGAGGGTAATATTACGGATTGTTAAATGTGTCTAAACCAATCAGATTTTAGTATTTAACATGAAAGTATAATAAATAAATATATATATATATATATATATATATATATATATATATATATATATATATATATATATATATATATATATATATATATATATATATATATATATATATATATATATATATATATATATATATATATCACTATTTTATAACGTTTTTATGATTGATATGTTTTGACAAAAAAGAATGATTTTGAAGTTCTATCATGCCCTCTGAACTTTAATCGTTTCGATAACTTATGGACGAAGAGCCTCGATCTCAGCTTGTAAATGAATTTCTCATCGGCATTTTATGAACATATTGTCGTTTGATGAAAAGTCAAGAGATTTTTCTTGTATGCGGAAATTGCCATGATTTTTTTCCGCATCATCGACTAATAAAACTATTCAAAGGTTAAAATCACCACCATCAACCTGTCCACGGGTTCAATGTACTCTTAAATGATTGGATGGATATGTGAATGGATGGATTGTGAAACTCATGGGAACTTTTTTTCAGCCGAATTTTATCAATTGCAATGAGTTACAAATATTTTCAATAGAAAAATATTTTGGCGTAATCTTTGTACCAGCAAACATGTCAGGTCCTTCAAAAGAGGAAACTAAACATAATAAGTTTTATACCTCCTTGTCATATTTAAAACACCATTCAAAGGTTATCAACAGCACGAATAACCTTTTTATAGTTTAAGTTTGCGATACTTTTGTCTGATTTTGTTGAGAAGTGACATCATATTGCAGATTTCTCTCTCTCTGTGTCTGTCTGTCTGTCTGTCTGTCTCTCTCTCTATCTCTCTCTCTCTCTCTATGTATATATTAATTTAGGATCTTTCATCTTAAAATTTGGTAATCTCAACTTTAATCTTGGCTTTTCCAACTTATAATATAACGTGGCACTAATACGCTTCTGCAATAATCGACATTTACCACACAAAAACAGAAAGCTAAGTGCGTTCCGTTAAACAAGGACTAGTATACCGTCTTGGGTTCTTAATTCATGCAAAACTGCTGACGGACATCTATAATAATGGTGATTTTTTTATGTTACATATACGAATCTGAGGGATTGTTCAATGAAAAACTTAGGTATTAACGAATAAAGAATTTATCATTATAAAAATGGTGATTTATTTAACTATTTGATTATCACATTTTAATAAATACTATTTTATCGCAGTCTAACTATACGAAGATATGTTTTCTTTGTAGGAGTGCTGTTTTGAAAAAAAAATGCACATTTTAAAATTTAATTTATTTATTCTTTACTGATAGTATAGCTGGGTACAGAGCATTCCTTGGAACACCCTTGTTTAAGATAAAGACCAGATTTTTTTATCATTTCGAAGAGTTTTATTTCACTTCTCAGAAGATACGAGGAAGTTATGTATTCAGTGAAATTTAAAGATGACGAACCGTGATCCTGCTCGAAAGTCCATTTAAACTATAAAGACTGTGAGTAGAGCCAACACGGACCCCTGATAACAGGCGGTACTACATGTAGGTGCCATGGAATAGTAAAATCCCCTTTCGAGCAGCCACATAC